TCGGGTTTTTTCATTTAAAAAAAGCGGCATTAATTTCTTGACGACCTAATATATTTGATTACTATTTGGGTTGACAAGTACTTATCGTTACTATAACATTCAGACCTGTTGAGACAACTTTGATAAGCAACAATACAAGACATAGAAAAATAAATATTTTGGTCGTTTTGCAGTCACTATATATATACAATTCATTATAACATCAGTTTCATCAAATATTTTGTTACTTGCTTTAAATTCCAGATTCAAAGTTTCTCGCAATAATTAACAGTGCTTTCTTTACCCGTTAATAATTAAATTATAAAACATTTATTTCATATTTGTCGTAACCTTGTTCCAAATTAATTAAAAGCAACATATAAGAAATGAATCCTGGCAAGATATCTTGTTAATCAGTTACTACTATACAGAAGTTTTATTATGGTGTTAATAAAATGTATATTGGTATAATTTCAGTCCATTTTTTGTCGTTTTTAAATGAATAAGTAATTGAAACTTCCATTCATCATATCGTGAGTTACAATTTATTGTACGCGCAGTAACTTTTTTATTTGGATGTGTTATACTTATGCTATTATCAAAATTGTTCACTGTTTTTCCTATAATCAAATAAGCAAATATCCGTTAGAATGTTGTTTAATCATGTCCATGCAGTTATTGAGTAAATTTGCCTTGACTGTTAAGTAAAACAACGAATGGATGTTTGTAAGAGGCTTATTGTTCTTGTATATATTTTTAGAACATTTATAGAACTTACTAAAGCTTTCCAACACAATGTTAGTATAGTTTATCGCTTTAACGTAACTAATTCTACTTTATAAGAAAATAAGTTATATGTTTAGTTACTGTATGGTAAGCATGTCGGACTGTTTTTACTTTATTTAGATGAAGTTGCATGTTCAAGCCCTGAAGTGTGTGAAGTAATATGTGGTAGTAGAAATGGCTGTACAAATATAGCATATTCACTCCTAGTCATACGTTTAATGCCAACTGGTAAGTTAAAGCTCCGTACAGAATACTTTGTTTTCTCATATTTTAGCTTATTTGTAATAGTTATTAGCATCACAAGTTTGTTGCTGCTATTTCTAGGAATTGTAATCATCCTACTTTCTCTCTCTCTCTGATTTACATACGTGTGTATGTATAAATATGATCAGCTTTTGGAATTGTACTTTGCATATTCATATTCTTGAGTTTATTAATTCATAATTGAGAAGACTATTAATTCATACGTCCCTTGGTGAGATAACGGTAAATTTACGTACTCATAATGTTAGAATTCAGGGTTCAATTCTATGGGGTGGACACAGCAGCTAACTCAATGCGGTTTTGCTCTAACCCAAAATAAAAATAAACTATATATTTGTACACTGTGTCTTTACTCTCAAGAACATTGAGACATGATTCGATATCGCCAGTTTAATATTTGTATTTCGAGCGTATACCTTTCCTAATTTTAAAGTTATGTTTTAAGTTGTTTGTGTGTATTAACTTTTTGATGTCTTCTGAATATTCTTTTGACTTTATGCTCTTTATATGTATTTTTTATGCTTTCTGACAGTCATTTGACCCAGGATATTATGGCTGTAGCTTTCTTTTTTTCTCTCATTATTGGTATTTATTGTCTTTATAAAGTGTCCCAGGTATCTACTGCCAAGGAGGTTGTAGTGATTTGTTTGTCTTCCTTTTTCTTTGCATCTGGTATTAAAAATCCCGCTCATTCTGGAAACTAGTTAACTCGTAACGTCCATTGTGACACTGTTGAGGTGATTTTGATTTGTAGTCGAAAGATTTAGCAACATATGTGGGTTTTCTGATAACTCCTTTGGTTTATGAGTTCTATTTTTTGTACCAGTCACTAGTTAGGTCTTATTTGGAGAATTGTGTTCAGTCTTGGACTCCTTATCTTAAGAAGGACTTTGAATTGTTAGAATTAGCTCAGAGAATGACTACCAGTATACCTGGAATGGAAAGGATATCATACGAGGAAAAGTTTAGATCTCTGAAATTGTTTTCTTTTGAAAAAAAAAGAACCATTACAGAAGATCTAATTAAGATGCTTGAGATTTTTAAGTAAACTGATAGAATCAAGCATCCTTTTCTCGTGCGTAATGGTGAGAGTGGTAAGACTAGGGAACGCAAATGCTTGGGTGACTTTTGATGGGTATTTTAGCTCCAGTTGGTGCCTCCTTGGTATAAATGGTGTTGAGTCAAACTGAATTAATATCAAGTGGGGTACCTCAAGGCTCAGTGTTAAGACCTTTACTCCTTTTGTTTTGGCTTAAATAAATTAAATGTATGAAGAAATGATAAATAAATTACTGAAATTTGTTGACAAATGCTGCTGCTACTTTTAAAAGTATGTAGATTATTTGGTGAGTTAGGTGATTAAATGCCAGATTGACTTTAATTATAATAAATTCAAGGTAATGCATGTTGGTTGTCATAAATTGAGTATAATTGTACTCGGAATAACCTTAACAGTAATATGAAATAAGGATTTAGGAGCTCTAGTTGATCAGGCTTTTAAGTCATCCATGTACTATTGCTATTGGTAGGGCAAGTTAGATCTGAGGTTGCATTTACAGAAACACTGAGTATAAGTCTAAAGATATTATAATTTCATTTTAAAAGTCACTGGTTAACCCTTATTTGAAGTTTATAAATATGAACTGAAGTTTGTTCAGTCTTGGGTTCCTTCGAATTGTTTTAAAGTGCTCAGAGAAAGGCTAATAGTGTAACTGGAATGAAAAGTTTGATTCATGAGGACAAATGTAAATATCTGAAATTGTTTTCTCTAGAAAAAAAGAGGAGTTAAAGGAGATGTGGTTTAGATGTTTAAAATTTTAAAGAGAACTGACAGTGTTGATTCATCATCTTTTTTCGTGATCAATGGTGGGAATGATAGGGTTAGGGAACACAAATATAAACTTGTACAGGATAGGAGTCATCTCCAACTAAGACAGTTTTATTTCCCTAATATGATAGTTACCCCTTTGGTATGGGCTGACTTCAGATGTACTTGATTCTGGAAATTTAAGGGAAGGTTTGATAAATATTTTCATGCAATTGCTGTCCGAGTTGCTTTTAAGTTTACATTATTTTAGTAGATGGGCCAGCCTACATGGGCCAAAAGGTCTCTTGTTGCTCTTAAATGTTACATTAGTTTATGTTATGTAAATTAAAACACCCAAAACGACCCCGAGTTTGCGTGCCAAGTTCGGTCTTAAATTAATATAGGCTCCAAAAAATGAGATATGAACCACACACGAGAAAAAAAAACGCAAAGAAGCCTTTTACATCCACCTAACTGATAACATTCTCAGTCAACCTCGCCTAGACGTTAGCAAAATCTAGATAATCCTCTTGATATTAATCAGATAAGTTAGCAATTCTTAAATCATAATCTGACCACAACATGCATATATACAAAAACAGCCAAGTTAGAATAAATGAGTCAGCCATATAGAATTGTGATATCAAAAAAAGAGCCAATTGATATGAAGAAAAAAAAAACCCTGTAAAGTTGTAATACAGAAATGAGTAATTTAAAGAACAAAGAAAATAAGGGTATCCTGGCCCCCTTTCATGTCGTAGCATGTTCCAATTGCAATAATAAGTTGGTTTAATAACTGATTACTGTTTCACTAACTTAAATGAAATTGTAACATATTACAATGATATATTCCCGTGCCCTGCTGGTTTGTCTCATTTGGAATAAACATGCTTTCTATGACCACTAAGTGAAGTTATACTGGAATGACATCAATATGGAATATTGTGGTGTTCTGCTTGGGATATTTACTCGTAGTTAGATTACGCCACAAAAATAGTAGAATGGAGAGTCTTTCTTTTGCAGGTAAGTATTGGGTAAAAGAAATGCTGTGGATTAAATATGAATATTCTCAATGAAAATAAAGAGATGGAGAATCCAAAATTTAATAGTAACAGTGCTCAAAAAAATTATTTTGATTTACCCTACCTTCTTAAGCTGAGAAAAAAAACTATTTGGGTCTTTTAATTATAAACCAAATTTAGCTTAAATCCATACTGTTACTTCAGTGAATCATCTTTTGTCCTGGTCAGCTGAAGTAGAGGTACTTGGGTAGAGAGTGATAGTTGAAGGATAGGAGAAACCCAAATGACTGCAAAGAGGGGTTTACAGATTTCTCGTCCATGCAAAAGACCCCAACCAGGTTTAAGGTTTAAAATGATTTCATAGATAATTACACATAATCTGGAATTTTCTGTCGTGTAATTTTTTACAGAAGTTTTTCCTACATGATTATTATTATCGTGTTTAATTCTTATTGTTGTAGTAGTTAATGAGTACGTCATCATCTTACTATAATGGACGTAGCATTCATCTATGTAATTACAAACACCTTTCAATCCAGCAATAATTTTTCATTTTTTACTCAATTTGAACAGCCTTGCGACTCTTCATCTTCAATTAATATTCCATTTAAATTTCATAATGCATAGGTAAATGGAATCATGCCTGAGTTGCTGGAAAAATGGTAATCGTATTAATATTAATATCTACATTTACGTCTAATACTTGGCACAAAATTCGTTTTGATTGTCTCGTGGTGTTTCTCTCAGATATTAGTTTGTTAATTTTAGTGCTTGCTTCTGTTTTAATATCATAGTAATAATGTTATATCAGACCGGGATTGCTTTTGTCTAGAAGTTACTTTGACATTGCATTCCTATCCAGAGAACAATCATCTTTGACAGAACTAACATTTTACTTTGTAAAGTACATATTATCACTTAGTCTCTTCATCGTCAATACAATCTGCTTTCAAGAATAGGTTTTAATCAGATATATATGATTCAGTGAGACTTTTTCACCCTGATTTTTGTTAACATTATTTCTTACATCTTGGTCATACGAACCAGAGTTCTTGTGCATTATGCAAGACGTGGAACAAAAGAGTTTTCATATGGATTTTAGCAAATAACATGTTTGTTGTTTGACTTCGCGGGAATTAAGGCTCAAATACCATGTGAACATTTATTGTTTTACATTTTTAGAATAACTTGTTTGTGCATACCTTAAAAACCTATTTTCACGGTTACGGTCCGTTAATCCGAAGGACCGATAGTCCAGAGATGTTTTTTTTATTCATAAAGTTAGTCCATAAGGATAAGTAACTATACAAAATGTTAAATTGATTGTTTGGTTAAATATGTGAAACTTGTATAAGAAAAACACCCCAGGATATGATCTAAAAGGTTAACATCTTTCATGAATGGATGGATAATGTTTATCATCATTTCCCCGATGTTCTTGTATGCATCTATAGTGTTACCTGCAGAGCCCGCATATTTACGCGTCAGAAATGGAGTTAGAAATGTAGCTCTTCTGATAGAATTGACATTCACGATTATTATTCCATAGTGCTGTGACAACGAATGTTATATCTCTGACTCCTATGTCCATAGTGCTGTGACAACGAGTGTTGTATCTCTGACTCCTATGTCCATAGTGCTGTGACAACGAGTGTTGTATCTCTGACTCCTATGTCCATAGTGCTGTGACAACGAATGTTATATCTCTGACTCCTATGTCCATAGTGTCTGGTGAAACGAACTGTTAGTTATCTTCTGACTCCTATTAGTCCATAGTGCTGTGGACGAACGTAATGTTAGTTATATCCTGAC